ACCGTCCGAGCGCTTCGCCGGACGCCCTTATGAGCGCCCTCCACCTATCATGGTGGACGGTCACGAGGAGTTCGTTGTTTCCGACATCGTATCACGTCGAGTTACCGACGATACCCCTCCACGCATCGAGTACCTTGTGCGTTGGAAGGGCTACCCTGATGAGGAGGCTACTTGGGAGCCCCTCGAGCACTTGCAGCACGCCAGGATGTTGGTGCGTGCATACGATCGTGCTCGTCGTGCTGAGATGTTTGCCCCTGCTCAGCCGACTGACCCTCTTCCTCCTCCTTCGGCTGAGGAGATTGTTGAGGACGAGCCCGCTCCCTCTGAGGCCGTTCCTCGGCCGCAGACGGTCGCCTCCGAGCGTCCACAGCGCACTCATCGTCGCCCTTCGCGTTACGATGACTGACACTATTATCCTCTATCTTTCCCCACTAACTCACACCATCAGGTACTCCATCATCAGCTTCTTCAGGATGTCAGCGTTTTGCGGCTCTGCTTCGACATCGACTCGACTGCTACTTCATCGACGTCATCGACCACTTCGACGACTTCAGCCACCTCATTGGCTTCAGCTACTTTGGATGTGACTACTTCACGCCACCACCCTACCCTGTACATTCCCTTGCATCTGTTGCATGATGGTTCTCACTTAGCTGGGTCTCTTTGAGTTGGGCTCTCCCTTGCTATCGCGTAGGCATTGGGACTGTAGCGTTATCTTGGCTTCCCTGCTCCCAGATCTAGCTCCTTCCTCCCCCAGTCGGTGAGTTGTGTGCATGTTTCCCTCACCCACTGCCCTCATCACCCTAGTGTCGGCCCTTGCATGCCTTCAGTTAGGCATATCTCCACCCTATTCCAAGCTCCCCCTTTTCATGGTCGACCCTGCATGGTGTCACCCTTGTCGAGCATTACCCGCCTTGATGGTCTATCTGTTAGGGTCATTGGTTTTATTTCGCTACCACTCTCCCACCTTGAGCCTGATGACCTATCCCACCTTCATGTGTGACTGCCCTTAGGAATTTCGATTCTTAGGCTGCATTCACCCCCTCTGAGACCATCCCACTTTTAGTGGTTCAGTGACATGACATTATCTTGTGACATATTGCTCTTCTCCTTTCAGCACTGAGGCCACTGCCTCCAGGACTTTAGGAGTGTATCATACTACATTTCATTTT